GTAGTGATGGTAGTGGTCGTGGCTATTGTCGTTGTTAATAGTTGAGTTTAATTAACTTGTATCCTCCTTTTATTTTCTTGTCAGGACACCATCCTTCATAAAGGTCCTACTGGGATCAGAGTTGGTAGGATCCTGGCGCCTCCCTTGGCGGCTTTCTCTAGACTCAATCGCTCATGTACGCACACACACACACAGACACACAGGCACATGCATGCACTCACGGAAGCTTTATGTCGGCGTTTTTTTGTAGCTTGCCAGACGTCAGCTTTGGCACAGAGCGAAGTTACGTGTCTAAAAGTCTGCGAAGATGTTAATGACAAGCCCGAACAAGTGGCATCCTCCTTGTGGTCCCGGTTCGCCGGTGCCCTGGGCAAGCTGTAGCCGAGGCCAGGCGAGAGGATTGGTCTCTTGGTTGCACTGTTAGCCGAGGCACCGAGTGTACTTTTGTATTGTTTACGGCCAGCTGTATCCACAGTACAGCATTTCGGTCTTGTGTCCGAGGTCAACGCCTCCTGAAGAGCTGATAAACAAGGGCCTGGCGATAAAGCATCAACCCGTTTTGCAGGTCAGGCAGGCCGGAGATTAGTGAAATAGGGCTTGCTAGCTGCCGACATCAATAACAGACCACATCTTCGTGATATTAAGGTGTGAAGGCTCCGGCTGATACGGGTTGCCATGACACCGGACTATTCTGAGGTAGATAGATCAGGCAGAACTGTGGTGCAGATTGGCTCTTTTGCGATCTGTTTACAGAAACGGCTGGCCTCCTCGACAAACTGATTCGTGTGGATTGTATACACTTTAGGCAACATGAGCACAATGTAATATCATGGCATTTAATGGATATTCTCATATTTTGTATTGTGCACATGGTGTGCAAATATGAAAAGGGTCAGTTCGTTGGGAAGGTGACCACTAATAGCATGTTAGAACTACTTAAACAGTAATTCGTAGTTAGGGTTGCTTCAAACGAGGGCAGGCCAGAGCGGAGTCATTAAGGCTACTTTTCGTCGGAGCCCAGCATAGCAGTATCTAAACCGAGCTTGTGTATGGCATCGCTGAAGGGAATGAAGGCGTATGAATAAATCTGTTTCAATTTTTAACTTCCAATCAGGTCTTCGCACAACCAATTATAATCCATACATTTCTCCAATCAACAATCCATCCAAACATTCATTCATTTATTGTTCCATTCAAATATTCATCCATTTCTTCATTCAAAATAAATACACAAATACATTCATCCATTCATCCATTTATCCATTCATACATTCGTCCATTCATCCATTCATACATACATCCGTTCATCCATTCATACATTCATCCATTCAATCATTCATCCATTCATACATTCATCCATTCATCTATTCATCCATTCATCCATTCAGAAGTTCATACATTCATACATTCATACATTCATACATTCATACATTCATACATTCATACATTCATACATTCATACATTCATCCATTCATACATTCATACATTCATACATTCATACATTCATACATTCATACATTCATACATTCATACATTGATACATTCATACATTCATACATTCATACATTCATACATTCATACATTCATACATTCATACATTCATACATTCATCCATTCATACATTCATACATTCATACATTCATACATTCATACATTCATACATTCATACATTCATACATTCATCCATTCATACATTCATCAATTCATCTAATTATCCATTTATTCATTCATACATTCATCTATTCATCCATTCATCCATTATATGGATAGATAGATAGATAGATAGATAGATAGATAGAGTCCTTCATCAGCTTAGGCGATCGAGAGTGACTGGAATACTTATTTAAGATTTACTGATAGTTTCGAAGCCTAGTTTATGTGAATGGAGGTGTGAATACGTCCTGGATAAGTTCTGAATTCACCCTAAGCCGCGTCAGATGGGGGCGGTGGAAATATATATGTCTTAAGCCATACAAATACGCATAAAAAACACCAGCACAAATGCATATGTACATATGTATGTCTATCTGCACGCATACATGCATAATCACATGCACACTCTGACACACAGATAAGCACATGCACACACAAACATATGTGACAATGCGTATATGCGTGGTTGTGTGAAAGCTTGTGTATAAGACTGCGGGAGTAGTGGGTCTCCACGGTTTTCTGTGTCAGTGAGGAAAAGGAAAAGAAGGAATGCAGTAAGAACATGAAT